TTTTTTTTTTAAACCTAACTCTGGAGAGGAAAGAAAAAGCATGCCCTCGATGGAAAATAGTTCACTGTTTTTAGTCACTCAAAGAAACAAACACAACTCTGAGTGAAAGACTGACATGTCCCAATCCAAATTAGGTAGACTTTCAATTTTGGATTCTTCCTTCTTTCCTTTCTCCCTCCCTTTCTTTCTCTTTCTTTCCCCCTTTACTCCCTCCCTCTTCTCTTTCCTACCTCATTTCTTTTTCTTCTTAATTTAGCTCTCAAGTTTAAACCAGAGCCTATTTTAGATTCTTTGAATATTTCATATTTTTGAAATGTTTAGCATTTAACATGATTCTTGCCTTTTAATATGCTTGCAGGTCCAAGGAAGATGATTCATTTTTTTCATCTGACACCAAATTTTTCTAGAAATATTATAGTTAAGAAAGTTTATCCACCTTCTAGAAATGGCTTTTTCCCCCTTTTCCCTCAGTAAAGAAATTAAGTTTCTTTAGGATGAAAAGAGAGAAGCTACCCACAAATTTTGAAATTCTTGAGAATTTTGTTTTTTGGAGAATTCTTTCTTAATGAATATATCTTCTAATAATCAAAATATGCCTGCTCCCTTTCTGCATTGCACACTATGCAGTTATATGAGCAATGATTTCTTTTTTCAGTTCTACTTTTGGACATAACGTCCTTAGGTTGTGTGGGCCTGTTTATCACGAATATTTGAACAGGATTCACAGACACTTTCACAAACCTATCTGGCAAAGGTTACAGATGACTCTTAAATGGGAAGGAAACAAGAAAAACGGACATTCAAGGTTTCTAAGTTTAAAAAGATCAATTGTTTTTATTTTTTCCTCCTTAATTCAGTTATATTCTGAAAGCAGCTACTACCTTGAGCTAAAATGTCAAGTTAGAACATTTGAATTCTAATCAACTGCAGAAATTCTCCTAGTTACATACTCAAGTAACTCAGAAATAATAAGCCAGAATATTCACTCCATAGTGAGTCCACTATGGGACAGTATAAATTTTGGGATAGTATAAATTTTTAAATTAGGTCTAAAATGAAGATGTTTGTTTTTGGGGATAGTATTTTTGAGATAGTATAAATTTTTAAATTAGGTCTAAAATGAAGACGCTTATTTTTGGCAAGATTCCTTTCTAATTTACAAGGATTGAAAAAAACAATTTTGTTTTTTATTTGCTTCTCAATTTAGCAGCGTCATGATGGTTTTCCTCAGCTTTGCAACACACATTTTAGTTGGTTCTAGCGAACACAAATTTCTCTCAATCATGAGTGTCCCATTCATTAAGTGAGACAAATGGCAGCCTTGCTATATTTTGTTAGATCCCAGCCTCTCGAAGGTGGCTACCTTCCTCAGTTAGGTCTATAGGAAATAGCAGGGCTTATTTTTCTGAAGGACAAAAAGAAAGAAGTCAATATTTTGCTAGGGCAAGATGTCAAGTTATCTTCAAAGCAAGTAAGTCAAAAGCCTCTCAGTTTTTGAGTGGTATGAACATGTTTTTGCTTCAGGGATACATACCCTCATGTTATATAGCAGATGAAAGTCTTAAGATACCTGGAGATGTATTAGCTTAGAGCTCTTCCTAAGAGATGTTTGAGATTTCTCTGATGTAGACTGTTCTATACTCAAAGATATATTCTGTCTCCTGGGAATTCTGTAACAGCCTCCCACGCCATGTAACTCCCTTGCTCAACTTTTGCAGTCATGAAATATGACTGGAAGAGGAAAGAAAGAAAGAAAGAAGGTAGACTGGAAAGCATCCCAGCTGTCTGTGACTCCACACAAAGCCAGCAGAAGACACTTAAGAAAGGATAAGTCGTTGTCCACACAAGATAGAAGATGGGGAAGGGTTCATCGAGGTTTTATAAGACACAATGCCAAAGTGGTTCAAAGAGGGAAAAAAAACGTTGGTTTTAACTTTCCCCTTCTGCATTCCAGTCAACGCCAGGGGCTCTTGGGCAGTGGGTGTCCTATTTTCAGTTTTACCAGGACCACTTCTGAGGAGGACTCTTGAACCTGGGGCTGCACCCTGTCTCAGGATGCCGAGATTCTGGCAAATGAGTGCAGGCTCAGAGAATATTCATTTTTCCCTTACTCCGCTCAGACACACATTGCATATGGAGAAGCCAAAATTTGGCCCAAATGGAGACATAGCAAACACGTTTGTTGAAAGCCCCACTGCATAATGTACAGTGCTGGATGGATTTCCTAAAACAGGAGGCAAGAATTCTAAGAACTGGAGGCACTCACTCCCAAGGAGCAGCGACCGTGACAGCTCTGAATAGAAAGACCCAGATCAAGAATGACTGCTGAGCGTTACTGCAAAGCTCAGCACTTCTTTTCATCCCTTTGTTGTAGGGAAGCAGAACCTCTATGGAGCAGCCAGGAGAGGAGAGGTAGGGAGAAGCAAAGTGGGGAGGAGAGGAGATCGATCTAACCTGTCTCTGATGAGAGGTAAATTCTCTGGAACTTTAGCATTGTCATTACAGATTGCTGGGATACCATATTAAGTGGTTACCTATATTGAAAATCCATAGAAAAATCACTAGTGTAAGGATTTCCTCCTCAAATCTGTCACCTGCCGTGACACAAGGTGTAGGACTCTCCAGGGCCTCTTACCAGTATGTACACACATGAAGCTAGAACAGCAATAAAAGTATGGTGCTTTTTTGTGAAATGTTGACTGTGTTTTGTTTGTGTGTGGGGGGGAGGGATGGGCAATGAAATGACAGTTTAAAATACTCATGTGTTAATTTTATTCTCCTGCCTTACTGACTTTCTATGTCTCCAATAATCTCTTAGCTTTATCTATAATAATCATATGTATTAATCTTGAAATACAAAAGCTATTTTTTAATTAGGAAATGCAATGTTTCATCTTCAGGATTTCTAACTGTTTAGACATGGCAATATTTTCAAGCTACTTTTTAGAAAACTTCGAAGAGTTTGGTGTTTTCATAGCACGTGGCTATATAGCAAGAGCTCCAGACAGGGTCCAACTTCTTCTGCTATTACAATAATAACTGCCTCTTTCAAATGTGGAGTGCTTCACAGTTTACAGGATACTTTTTACAGTCCATCTGATGATTCTCATCTCACCCTTAAGAGGTAGGGATTGTAGTTCTACCGTGCAGATGAGGAAACTTCCAAGGCCAAGATGTCCAGCACTGTCCAAGGCCACCGTGGTGGGCCTGGAACCCAAACGCTACCTTTTGCCCTCCGATTCCCCTTCCTTTGGCCATAGCTCTTGCCCTTCTGTGTACACGCAGGACTCTGGACAAGGCCACCAAATCCCCTAGGCTTCAGATCCCTCCACTGTGCAATGGCAGCTTGGGTTTGATCATCTCCAAGGTCCCTGTGAACTCCTCTTCACTTTGAATTTGGGTTTATTCAGTAGAATGAAAAATGATGGGACTCAGTGTGCCTTGCCTGACTGAAGGGGCACAGTCCAAAGGCTAGTGACTAAAATGGGCCTCTAAAATGCCACAGTGGTTGTCATGAACTGGGAGGAACCAGGGTAGATTTTTTTGTATTAGTTCTGATTCTTAACAGAGTCTCATAAAATATATGGACTCCAACAAGACAGGTAAAAAAGAACCTCTCTTCACATACAAAAATTTGCATGTGACTTTAGATGGTTTATAGATTGACTTCTTAGACTTGTATGGGCTAAGTTAACAACTTTTAGATTGAATAGTACACATGTACACAATTTTGTGGCTTATGGGTGGCCTCATGTTGGTTGTTATACAAAGTGAGCAAAACTTACTTTGATATGGGAGATAGTAACTGAAAGATACAAAAGGAAAAAACTGTGATGTGCCTTCAAAACAGTCCTTTTTTTCTATAGAAAATTATGTTTCCCATATTGCTTTTTTAGTTATTGGGATGGGGTAGGAGAAAGAAAAATTGATGTAGAACAAATATAAATATCTTTTGAAGAAGCCTTTATAGAGAATTCCATACCATTTTTAAAGCTCCTTTTGAATATCTTGAGAGCAACATTCCTGATTGCAGATTTATGGTTGTGATTTCTGTCTCCCAAGCCTACAAGCTCTATGTTTTGGTCTGACACCAATGTCAGAACTGGGATAAAGAAGAGAAAATATGAACATCAGAGATACCCATATACCCTCCAAAGGAGGAAAGGTATTCTACTAATCATGTTACCCTTCCATACCCCCATGTAATTTCCAGAACACAGGAAGAACAAGATAACATGCATGAATCTGAAAATTTTAGACTGACACAATGTTATTCTGCATTCTGGAAAGTTGAGAACAAAGAAGGACATCATGTTTTGTCTTGTGGTGTTGAAAAAATGACCCATGGTCAGTCTGAAAGCCAGATCCACTGTCCGTACCCATTTATCAGCTCTCACAGCATCTAACTTCATGTTGTGTAGTCCCCGTAATGTCTGTTAATGCAAACTCCATTGGGCATAAGATAACTGCAGTCATCAGCAACATTGACTGAACACCTCGATACAAAAACCAGTATTTCTTTTAGAATAGACTGTAGAAGGTTTTCATGAAATTTTTTCTTTTTGCATGCCCCACATCAAATATTGTTAAAAAGATGAAAAAACAGTTTTTTAAATAACTTACAAGTATTCATATAAGAAGAAAATGACTTAAAAAATACCCACCCATTCACCTACAACTCATCTAGCGCACAATGCTAATATTACATAGACTGTGACAAAAGAACTCAGTGACTCGTGGGGAAGTAGGGAGGCGTAGTCCATCCTCTGGGAGGAGGTGAGACGTGTCAATGCGGAGAGGTGCTCTCAGTGGTGCTTGGCTTCCTAAGTCAAGTTCAGCAGCCGTGTTTCAGAGTCAGCGTCACTACTTATTTCGACCTAAAACGGAAAATATGAATTGCTTTAAAGAACTTCAAAACTGAAAACTGAACTTCCTTTCTATTCACCCAGGCTTTTCAAAATGCAAAATAGTTTCTGGGTATTCCTCATGCAGTCTGTGTATATGACCAAAGCAATAAGAAAGCCGGAAACCCCGATCTTCAGATTAGGGTGTGCAATCAGGTATAAAAACTGTAATATAGTATTGCCTTCCTGGGAGAGAAGTGCCAACCCCATAGCAATGGGGGACTGATGTTAAGGTCGGGTCTTCGGTTGTCTTGGGGTAAAGAAGACAGGGTAGTAGTATGTCTCCAAACTGCTAGGTACATCCCTAGCCTGCAGCATCCTGTTGGTTGACAGCTCAAGAATTAACCTCATCTGGCTTTCATACCGCTGATCTACATCCCTGCATACATCCCATCCTGTGATGGCTGATTTTATGTGTCAACTTGGGTAGGCCATGGCACCCAGATATTTGGTCAAACACCAACCTAAGTGTGGCTGTGAGGGTATTTTTTTTAAGATGAGACACACAATTAAATCAATAGACTTTAAGTAAAGCAGATTATCCTCCCTGTTGTGGGGAGGTCTTATTCAGTCCCTGAAAAGGCCTTTAAGAAGAAGGAATTCTGCCTCTGGACTGCCTTTGGACTCAAGACTGTAACATCTACTGTTCCCTGGCTCTCTGGTCTGCAAACTCTGCCTGCACTTGCTGGATTTGCTTGGCCCCATTATCCCATGAGCCAATTTCTTCAAATCTCTCTCTCTGCGCACACATGCACGCACGAGTACACCCACGTACCCTATTGGTTCTGTTTCTCTGGAATACACTCTTCCATCTCTAGTTACTCTTGTCTCCTGATTCTGAGTCTATACTAGGCAGTGAGCCTTTGGAAAGTGGTAGTTTGGGCTTATGCATCTTCCCACAATATCAGCCCCAATACACCGTCTGCCACATAGTTGGCACTTAATAAATATTTGTTGAATACTTTTGCTCTCATGAAAAAAGTCTTAGCTGATCCAAATCTCATTCATCTTCAGGGTTCAGTTGACATTTCTTCTCCCTTGCGAAGATTTGTACTCCCATGTCAGCTATACTGCTTTCTTACCCCACTGATAGCAACTCTTCCACTGTCTGCTATACCCCCTGTGGAGCTAATGGCATTCAACTTCACACTTAATTTGGCTCCGATTGTTTCACTCAGGTGTGTAAGTTTCCTCCCTACAACTAAGTTATAAGGATCCTGCCAGTAGAGGCTGTGTTTCCCATTTATTTTATAGCCCTATCTAGCAATTCTCTTCCATTAACTCAGTTCAATGACTCTTTCTATGGCCCGATTTGGGGCTCGATCCCAGGACCCTGAGACCATGACCTGAGTCGAAGGCAGACGCTTAACAACTGAGCCACTCAGGCACCCTTACCCCATTGCAATTTAACAGGGATTGAAACTGAAAGATAAAGAGATGAGAATATAATGGTGGCATTTTTATCGTTTTATACAGTGTCTCAGGAGGGAGATTCAAGGTCTTAAAGTTTATTCATCCACCCAACGGGTGAATCTCTGCTAGAATGAGGATAAGGCAGTAGGGAAAGGTACTTTTGTTTGTTAGTGCTAGTACTGATGGGAGTTTGGGGAAACTTCTAGGTATACCCACCACGTTTATCTTCTGTGGTGAGATTGAACTAATTCTGTTATTCTTATATTGTCTACACTTTCAGTCCAAGATCAAGCTTGACCTTGTGGCAAGATACTTCATATGTGGTGTTGTGCTTTTCATTGTGTCTCATCTGGAGACGCATAATGTCTACTTGTCCCTCTTTTAATGGTGCTATGATTGACCAATGAGTCTGGGTAGAACAGTTTGAGTTTTGCGAACCTTAAGATCATATCTTTATTTGTTTCTTCAGATGTTCATAGATATGTTAGTAGTTACCTGAAGGTATCTACTCTTAAGGCAGAGTAAAATCAAGTAATAGCATAGTGATGTTATTTCAAAGTGTGTCTTCTGAAAGGCCTGTCATTGTATCTTTTCTATTGCTTTTCTAAGTCTCCCTGTTATTATTTCTGTGTGTGTGTGTGTGTGTGTGTGTGTGTGTAAGATATCTGTGTATTCTATTCTCTTTCCCATGTCTTGTTTCTTCCCAGAACCTGTCATAATGTGGGATTATAAGTATTTCTTGATGTGAATATAAAATAAACAAAATATGTTTTTAACATAAAATTTGGTTTCTGTTCATTGCATATAATTTTAAAGTCAGAGGATATTCTCTTTTGGAAACAGGCAAAATGAAGTTATTTCTCTCATGTTGATTAATTTGGGGGAGGAGGGTGCTCCATGTCTCCCTTTCACTGGGTAAATCTATTTTCTTGCTGTTAATATCTATGACTAGTACTAAGAAGATTCCTGAGAGTTCTCAGAAAGACAGGAATTGACAGTTTCCCTGGAGGGTACCATTCAGATGCGAGTTTTCTCTTTTTGGAAAAGGCAATGTGAGAACCAGGTTCCATAGGTTCTGGGGGCAGTGAGTGAGGTCACGTGTTAAATGAGAAGGTCTCAGTGATCCTAGTGAGGCACAGGGCAGATGACTGACCATCGGTCATGGTCATGGCAGACCCTCTTTGTGTGTTGCTGCCCACCTTATTGGTGGCATCATTTCTTCTCAGCAAGAATAGTGGTGCATGAACTGACTAGCCCAGTGACGGGTCTGAACCATATAAACACAGCCATTTCACTGCTCCATGGTCAGATGGCCACACATTAGGGTATGTTCTTACATAGTTCCTAAAAGGAATTAGTCATTTCCCGTGATGGATCACAAAGTTATTAATATCAGTGACAGAAGGTAAGTGCTCAGAAGAGAGGAAGAGCAAGAAGCCCAAAGCACTGCCCCTTTGTGCTAAGTAAGGCAGGCATGCAGGGAAGCCCGGCTCTCCTCTGTAAGGCTGAGTGCATTACAAGTTGTTGCAATCTGCATTCTTGAGGCTGTGCCTGGGAAAGTTAATGCCTGTTGTAAGAGCCCACCATTTCCAGGGACTGGTGGAAGCCCTTAGGCAACAGAACTCCACACTCAGTGATGGGAAGGGTGAACAGCCCTCAGTTTGAGCAGATTACGGACACTTTGCACTGTGTGCCACAGGGGACAGACAGCATGGATAGAGAAATATAAAAGTGTGAAAGACAATCAAGGACAAGTGAAAACAGGAGAAAGACAGAGAGTTATCATTTTATTAGTCTTTAAGTGCTTGGTCGAGAAAGAGAGGAGTGATGGAGTAAATGCATGTTGTAGCCTCCAGGTTCCTCCAGCTTCAGTTTACTAATACATTGCTGGTGGTTAGTGGCTTGTTTGTTTGTTTGTTTTAGAAAGAGAGAGCTTGCTCGCATGCAGGGAGGGGTTGGGCGGTGGGGGAAGAGCAGAGGGAGAGAGAGGGAATCTTAAGAAGGCTCCATGGGGCTCCACTTGGGACTAGATTTCAGGACCCTGAGATCATGACCTGAGATGAAATCAAGAGTTGGAGGCTTAATCCCAACTGAGCCACCCATGTTTCCTTGGTGGTTACTAGTTTTTAAATCAAGGTTTGAAAGCACATCATTCTGACCTGCCCACCTCCCACACACCCACCCCCACACACAGCTCTGTTTTGTTCTGGCTGGTTCTTAATCTAGGTGCTGTAAATGCAAAATGGTCTGGCACCAACTTACAGGGATATGGATCCAAAGCAGCTTTTCTCAGGGAAGAGCAGGTGGATGCGACCACCTCCGCTCTGTCCAGCAGGCAGTCATCAGAGGCCAATTTCCTCTGGGCTTGGACATGAGAGGCAGTGAAGGTACAGGTGGGCGCTGACTGTAGAGCCTGCCTGAAATGGGAATTAGCCTCGTCTGTCTTCTCGTACTGCGTTGCAAGAGCCGACACTCAATCAGCAGCGGCCGCCTAGCAGGTGACAATTTTTCTGAAGAAAAATTAGCCTCCAGCCAAGGCAATCAGACAAGTCAAGATACCAGAGAAGAGTCAAGTTCTCATTTGGAAATCTTAGAAAAAAATTGGCTGAACGTGGGGGATGAAGCTTTTTCAAGTCTTTCTAAACGGCAGTCGTGGGGCATCTTCCTCATGGGAATTTCTAAGGTCATCAAATCTCTCTAGTTCTATTGTAGAACACAGTTCTGAAATTCCACTGCAGTCTTTTTTTGACAAAGTACCTTGGTCTAATTATTTCTATCTGAAGAATTACTGCCACATAGAGCGTAATTTTCCCACTGCCCGGGTGCTAACCATTTTGATTTTGACAAACTTTAATTTAGTTGCTCACTAGGATGTTCCCTGAAATTCTGTGTCTCTTTCATAGCTGCATAGGTTTTTTTGCCAAACGATTTTTCTTCCTGAGAAGCAAATCTGCTTTTATTAGCCCTCTCCCCTTGGTGTTACTGCAGCCTCCATGACCAGCCGCTCGGTAGGTGTCCTGTTCAAAGCCACCACTGACCACGTGTGGCTCTCTGCTCCAATGACAAGAGCCACACTTGCTCTTTCTCCTCATGAAAGGTGGTATCAGCGTTTGGTGGGAGTGATGAAAGAGGTCCTGGGAGACCCAGGCTATACTTATTTGAGAGTTATAGCTCCCTTACTGATGGCTGTGCCAAGATGATAGACCCCAACACGGGCTACCCCTGACTTGTGTGTCACATATCCCAAAGCCAGACCCAGACAATAACCACTGAAAGCATCTCTACAGCATCTTTAAATTTTTATATTTTTTTAGATTTTACTTATTTATTTGGGCATGAGAGAGCATGAGTGGTGGTGGGGGAGGGGCAGAAGGAGAGGAACAAGCTGACTTCCCACTGAGCAGGAAGCCCGACTCAGGGCTTGATCCCAGAACCCCAGGGTCATGACCTGAATGGAAAGCAGACACTTAACCGACTGAGCCACCCAGGCACCCCTTTATTTATTTATTTTTAATGGTATTTCACCAGTGCAAAGCTGACAGACCCTGCCCCGCACCCTCACAGTGTGTGTGGGGGTGGTGTGGGGGATACCCAAGGCCTCCCACTTATTCTACACCCCTCATGTCTCTTCCCCATGCCAGACTAGAGTCAAACTCGACAGGATCTTTTTTCCTCACTGATTCTGCCAAGCCTGGTCCCTTGGCTGTGGTTTCGCTGTATAGTAGGTAGGGATAGTGGGAATCTTGTTCACCTCTATAGCTTTTTTTTTTTTTTAATTCAAGTATAATTAACATCCAGTGTTATATTAGTTTCAGGTGTACAAGATAGTGATTCAACGATTCCATACATTTCTCGGTGCTCATCATAAGTGTACTCCCTTCATCTGTTTCACACATCCTTCCACCCACCTCCCCGCTGGTAACCATCAGTCTGTTCTCTGCATTTGTATCTCTTTCTCTTTTTTTTTAAATCTCTTTTTTCTCTGTTCATGTGTTTGTTCCTTAAATTCCACATACAAATGAGATCATATGGTATTTGTCTTTCTCTGTCTGACTTATTTCACTTAGCATGATGCCCTCTAGGTCCATCCGTGTTGTTGCAAATAGCAGGATCTCATTCTTTTTTTGTGGCTGGCATACAGCTTTAGGTCTGAAGAGTCACATTGTTTAGATGGTGGAACCATGGCTGCTGAGGATCTGGGGGCAACTCCACCAAGAGCTACCAAGATTCCTGCTCTACTTAAACATCTGCTTCCTCATAGGCTTGCTCAGGTTATGTGACAACTATGGCAAACACTAGATTGGATAGTCATGCATTTCAACTTCACCCTCTGTAGAATGGCCAAGCAAATTCACCTCCATGCAGGGGACACCCATTCTCTTCTGCTTTCGATTAACTCCTTATCATCTTTCCTAAGTCAGCTTAGGCATCATCCCTTAGTCTATCCCCTGCCCCTACAAGTGAGAAGTAACCATTCTCCCCTCTGCAAAAAATTGCCTTGGGGACACTGTTTTGCATCTACTTATTTCTGTGTAGGTCTCCTCACCTAGATCATTGGCTGCTGGCGGTCAAAGCTCAAGTATTGCTCATCTTTCTCTCTCTGGCACCCAGCACAGGGTCTAGGACACACATTATAAGTAACAGAGAAAGAGGTGTAACTAAAACTAAACTAATCTCCTTAATCAGGCCTTCTTGATAGCTTGGTATCATTAATTTAAAAAGAGACAAAACATGGAAGACCAACTCCATATGTAAAATGCTTTTTCCTATCACATCACCCCCAACACACACATTCACACACAACTTGACTGTGGGCACATGAAAGGTATGGTTTATGATTAGGAGCAATGACACAATCAAACACGAGAATGAGGGCTTCCTGTACAAATCGGCAGTGTGTCCTTGTCAATGGAATGGCTGCTTGTAACTACCCCTTGAGATTCAAAAGCTACCCTTCCACATACGTGTATCAGGATTCTCCTGATTCCCTTAATAAAGTGGCTTCCTCATAAAACCTGGTTCTGTACTCCGTGGAGCCTAAAGGGACTTAATGAAAGTTAAAAAACCAGCATTCCTTTCCCTGTCTGACAAATTATACAGAAGATTGGGTTTTTTTTGCCAATCTGTTGCTGGGTGGTGATAATGGCATCACTGAGCTGAGCACAACAGAATCCAATCTAATGGCTTTATTAAAAGAAATCAAGCAGGCTGACTTATGCCAAGTGAATAAACTGTAATATTTGCATACCAGTGGGGAGCACACATACTGACCTCTTCAATTGTTTCATGCACAATGATTTTAATTCAGGTGTAGTTCGATCTTTCAGATTCCTGCTCCCTTCATGGTTGAAAGGCTTTCCATATTCATCGGACAGTAATATGCATAATCTGTCAAAGCAGGAACTTGTTCTATTGCTTTCTGTGGCCTGTAGTTTATGCTACATTCAGCTACAAAGGTGTGAACAGGGGAGTTGAGAAAACTCTTTGAGGAAGCAGTAGAGTTGATCAAAGCCTTTCAGGTAATCTCACAGGTATGTTTCATGTACTCTTGATTCACAGGGATGGGAGAGACATTAGGGAACACAGATGGCAGTCACTTGCCTCTGGGCCATGCCAGAGAACGCTGTGAGGTACATGGGTACACATGCCATTCAAAAAAGGAGATTCCATTATCAACTTTAATCAATTGCAATTTTAATAACCTTCCTTAATAGAAAGATCTTTCTTACATCTGACCAACATTTTTCATATTGCAATTTCCTCTGCTGAGTTATTTTTTTCACAGTGGAGATGAAAGAAATCATTCATCACCTTCTTTATTACATAATGAATGTATGTTAGACTCTCCTAGACGCTACTAGGCATTGTTTCCATTCTTTTCTCACTTCCAATGCACTCATCATCTTTATTATTGTCACAATCTCTGCCAAGTTCCCCAGATCCACAAATATCAACTTTTGGAGCACATCATTTATGAGCACTCAGTAGCATGAGTAATGAGGTGGTGACTGCTTAGTCCCAGAGTGTTATATAAGGTGAATGATTTTCTAAATTGGATTTGCTTTAAGAAATCAACATTTATTTAAACATCTGTCATGTGACAGGCACAGCGCTGATTTGTATAGCTTGTGAGCTATGTTTCCTTTAGATCATTCTGCCAGAATAAAATTAATCCAACCTGGAGAGGTTGGAGGAGCCCAGTGCAGGTTTCTTAAGGCTGGGGGTGAGGGGGCTGCAGATGCGGGCAGGAACCACTTTGGCGAAGAGGCAGCAGATGAAGGCTTTCATGTGTGTTTCTTAAACCAGTGGCTGTTCTACATAATGTCCTTTATCATCACGGAATTGTAGAACATTGGGCTGAAAGAATAGGAAGGTCATCTGAACACGTCCACACCATCAGGCATGGTGATAGCTTATCAATCAGAATAGATCCCAGCTCCACCCCTTACTACTGATGGGATTTTGGGAAATTTGTCTAATCTCTATGTACCTCTGTTTCCTTTTTTATGAAGTGGGACTATTAATTAGTACATTATGGTATTTCCATGAGGGTTAAGAGAGACAATCCATGTCAAGTGCATAGCACTTGATAGCTATTATTTTCTACAGTTGTTTATTTGTTACTTAGAGTTTTCTAGGAATGGAGTCTCTGTATCTATTTTCTTGCTTTCTAGTATTTTATCAATCAGATGACCACGATTCCTTCCTTATACTCAACTGAAATCTGTTCAGGTTAAGGTGTTTTTGTGTTGTAGTTGTTGACTTGCTTGCATGTCCTCTAGGAACAGTTAGTCAAATATTTGAGAACTAGGCACAGTCAAAGGTTATCCCATTGAATGCATCCTCCCTCCTCTGCCTGTGAAACCGTATTACAGGTGGGAGAACCAAGTCTCAGGGGCATTAAGGAAGGGCCCTGAGACCACACACATAGAGCCTGGGTTCTAACCTATTCTTTCTCCCCTTTTCCCTCTGTAATATAGCTCCCAAGTCACATATCTAGTTTCTCTTCTACAGACTACATTATCCTTTTTTTTTTTCCAATTTGGCAATCAACTTCTGATAAGAAAAATTCAATAAAAATTCCATTTTAGAAACATAAACCATGTTACCTATTTCAAATTATTTTTGGAATGAATATTAATGATGATGTTGGGTTACATGTAAAAGGTGTGGTTTAAATATGAGTGGAAAATTAAACCAATGATTAGTAGTAGCAGGTCCAAATTATCTCAGGTTTGGTTAGTTTTGACCAAGTTAGAAGGATTAATATTTTCCATCTCATCACACCTTTACTTACAGGTTAACAGGCTTTAACTCAACATGATCCTGGTAGTAGGAGTGTGCATCAAGTCCGCCTATGAAATCAACTGAAAATATAACATAGCCCGATGTGAATAAATGTGTAAATAAAAACACACATAATACTAGATGTTTAAAATAGAACACATAAAAAGAATATCAACAAAAAAAAATCTGTCTACCACAAATGGAAAAATGTGTACTTATATAAAAGTTTGCTAAAAATATTGTCAATGATCAAAAAACAGGGAGCTTTTAAGAAACAAATAAAGAAGTTGGGATCTTACAGACTACAAAATCAAAGCTGTTATTGACTTTAGTGAAAAATGAAGTAACATTAAATAACGTTAGATTTTAAATAATGTGTTTGTCCTTAGGCATATGGATATGCCCTTTCCCCCTATATATCAGAAGGTATACCTTCTCGTCTTGTTGCCAGAATCCAATTTTTTTCCTTAAGAATATTTATTGCATCATTAGAAAGACCTTTGAGAAGTCACATTATCTATGTCCATGCCTTTTGTCTTCAAGCCATCCTTGATAAATAGGCATCTGTATTTTTGCAAAGAAGTTTTCATCTCTTCTCTGGTCGCATGGTACTGGTCTCACAATCTGGTTAGAATCACTATGCTGGTGACATTCATTCTAATTTCTTTCTGTTTCGATCACAGCTTCCGTCTTTCTTTTCCAATCATAATGTTCAAAGCTAATCTTAGTTCACGTCTCTTGTTCTTTTTTTTCGAAATCCATTAAAAGTATTAATTACTTTACCTCAAACTTTGGTTATATTATAGCACTATAACATTAACAGGTACATAGGTATAGCGGGACACTGAACTCTCGGTGAGGGAGTGTATGTTTAGATACCTAATACTCGAATATTATATCATATCCTCAGCTCAAGACAGGCATGTCAGTGACCTGTGGTTTAGAGAGGGATGACTTAGCATAGAAGTTCTATTGAAGACTTGACCTATTCTAGATCTAGCCACTCTGCCAATCCCTGACCTGCTGTGTCCTTTTACCTCGATTGAAGAAGGTGAGGTAAGGCTGGGTCAATCAAAGCTTCACCAGATCACTGTGTAGACATGAGCTTTGGAGTCCCGTGGGGTACACAACAACCAGGTGGCCATTTCCAAGCAATCCCCTTGGAGATTAGAGGAACCTGAAGCCCATCCTTTTCCTACCAGGTCACATAAGTTACCCGGACACTATGTTAGGGAAAGAAACAGTGAAAGAGGAGTCAATCTGAGACACTGAAAAGATTTTCCCGGAGAGAATAAACAGTGCCTAGGGACCATTTAAATGGTCAGATTGGGCAAAATTTTTATCAGATTAGATACCTAATCAAACATCTACTCCTTCACCTTGCTGACCAACAGGTGGGAAATTAGAAGGAAAATAACACTGATTAAAAGTTGAATGAGTATGTGATTACAAGGCACTTTTCAAAGTTAAAGTGGGTGTTAAAAATAAACAAAATTATAAATATATACATTTGTGAATAAAATAATTCAACTGAAAAATCATATTAAAAATAAAATTTTTTATAAAAATAAAGATAGCCTGTATCTGTATGCTTTACAATTTTTTCAAAGATTTATTTATTTATTTTTGAGAGAGAGAGTGAGCAGGACAGGGGGAGCGGGGCAGAAGAAGAAGGAAAGAATCTCAAGCAGACTCCCTGCTGAGCACAGAGCCCAATGCAGGGCTTGATCCCAGGACCCTGAGATCATGACCTGAGTAGAAACCAAGAGTCGGATGCTTAACTGACTGAGCCACCCAGGCGCCCCTGATATCTGTATGCTTTACATCAAAACACAAAGAAAACTTTTTTATAGGGATCACTTGAACATTAAAATGTAACATTAACAGAATCATTATTTTTGGTATAAATTCATGGACCACTGTGAATCTGCTCCTTAGCCATGTCTGTCTCTATCACCAGAATATATATATATATATATTTTTTTCAACATGGTTTTATTATTTTCATAGATTTATTTATAATCTTATTCAAAAATTTGTTTATGGTTAGTAAAATTGAAATTGTTGATACCTTAATCAATTCTGTAAATCATAATATTTTTAACTGTGGAAATATACTCTATATAAGGCACTGGTAATCTCTAAGCAAGTTTGCTAAAGAGTGGATATGTGTAATGTTATTTAGCCCAAATACTTTCCCAGTTACTGTTATTTTACCTTCATTTAGTGTATCTTTGCCAAAATTTTTATAAGGTAACAAAATATACATTGTATCTATTTATGATTTTTTAAAATCAAATATAAATGCTGTAACATTTTTAGGCCTTCTCACAAATCAGCTTCTTTTCATTTTGGTGCAGAATATAAATTCATCCAATTAAAAACAGGAGCTCTGTCTAAAGAGTCTTTTCTCAAGTCGAGATATTTCAAGAGGAAATTATAAAATTGAAAAATTAAATCTTGCATAACATTTGAGTTCTCATTATTTAATTTGCCTGGTTCTCTTCCTTTGGTGAGCATAAATTTCAATGTTCTCCTTTTCATAAGCTCTCAATTATTGCCATTTACTAAAAGCTTCAAAGGATGATTTTAGGGGTGCTTCATTTGTTGAATGATTCAATTTAAAATTTTCAACTGACCTTGAATGCAATGCAACTAAAATGTAGAAGACTCATTTATAAAAACGCTCACAAATATTGTAGGAAAATTAGATTGATTTACAAAGTATTTCTTTAAAGGCTGAAATGTTCTTAACTGTGTTGGATGAAGAGAAGCAAAGACAGAAAATGTATTCTGCCATCCTGAACTTCTTTCTGTTTTCAACATCAAGCTCATTACCAAAATGTTTTCAGGTAAATGCAAATCAAAACCACACTGAGATACTACGTTATACCCACTAAGATAGCTAGAATAAACATATCAGATAATAACAAATGTTGGTGAGGATGTAGAGAAATTAGCACCCTCATACATGACTGGAGGGAATGTAAAATGGTGCAGCCACTTTGGAAAACAGTTAGTCAGTTCCTAAAATGGTTCAAAAGAGTTACCATATGACCCGGTAGTTCCACTCCTAGGAACAGATCCAAGAGAAATGGAGACATATGTCCTCACAAAATTTGTACATAGATGTTTATAACAGCATTATTCATAAAATCCGAACTGTGAAAAAAATATTCTAGTTTATTTATCCTACTCTGTGTATGTAAATATTTATAATATATGTAATATATGTTATAATATACTATATATGTTATATGTATTATATATACATTTATATATACATATACATTTTGAAAACGAGAGTTTCTATTTTTGTTGGTAAAACACTGCAGCTTCGTTGGGAACTCATTACACTTCTGGGTGCCCTCTACTAACCCCACCTAGCTCCTGTGGGCTGGTGCACCTCCATTTGGCACTGAAAGGAGCTAGCTATCTCTGCTACTCCTGTCCAAGCACCTACCTTTTTAATCACTGATTGATCTACACACTGTCCTCGAAAGAAAGGTCCTAGTTGCACTGTATCCTTAAAGATGTGGGGAGAAGACTGGGGGGGTGGTTTTCTTACACATTTAACCATGTGTTAAAAGGAGAATTCTACTCATTGCACTTGCTTCTCACACATCTTGAGGAGACTATGGCAGAAGCGTGGTGTACTATAAGTTTACCCAAACTAGAACAATTATTAATGATAATATTTCATTTGAAAACCAAAAAATCTAGGACAAAGCCTAAACTAGACAGGATGCCAGGACAACCTGTGTAAACAGAGACCTTTTCAACCCAACGAAGACACATGGTCATCCCAGTGGATGGCACAATAAATGAGCTACACTTTCTCTGCATATCAGAATTCTAGTGTGAGGTAAATTTTTCAAATCTCTAATATTAAATATTATATATTAGTAAAACTTAAATTATCAAGCTTCCAGAACTGGACAAGACCTCCAAAAGACGTAACTATTAAGGAGGAATCATTGAAAAGTAGGTAATTAAAAAAAAACAAGTATGTACTTAAGAAACTGAAAACATCAAGAATCCTTTATGGATGGAATGCAATGTGGCTTTCTGACAACAGAAACCTACAAGTCCATGAGATAATGATGTTCCTATATAAGAATTAGTTTTTTATATATATGCCAATATTTGCCATTTGCCAGAGTGGAAAAATAGTTCAAGTAAGGAGTAAATTGGAGCATAAATGGAGGGTGCGTGTACAGATTCTGAAAGCTCTCTTTTTTTTCTAATGATGCCAAGTGCTTTTAAAACATGAAGAATTTTGTTTAAAGATGACTTAATAAAAAAACTTGAAAACACCTCAGTAGGAAAGACCTTCGGCTTTTAAGTTTTCCATAAGGGAGTCATATTATATGATTAAGAAAGTAAAGTAACTGTGCATTCTAAAATTCATTTTCATGAGAAAGATGTAAGAAGATGCTGAATTAAGGAATTTTTCCAGTAGAAAAAAACTGAATTTCAACAAACAGGAGAAGGAACAATAAAGGCGTAGACAGGTTTTCAGAGGTATTGGAACAAGAGGATTATAAAGGAAACGTCCACGAAATCCGTAATTGTAGTTGTTACAGCGAGTACGCCATCCGGGGATCTTTGGCAGAAGGGTGACGGGCCACGGAAGGCGTGCAACAGACAGAAGGAAGCACAGGAAGGCAAGAGGGGGGGGGGGGGGGGGAACAGTTTGCTGGGTGACCTGAAGGACAATGAAGTTGAATTCTGTATACTCTGTATACTCTGTATTAAAGTCTTTTTTTTTTTTTTTTTTAAGATTTTACTTGACAGAGAGAGACGCAGCGAGAGAGGGAACACAAGCAAGGGGAGTGGGAAAGGGAGAAGCAGGCTTCCCGTGGAGCAGGGAGCCCGATGCAGGGCTCGATCCCAGGACCCTGGAATCATGACCTGAGCTGAAGGCAGATGCTTAATGACTGAACCACCCTTTAATACAGGCGCCCCTGTATTAAAGTCTTGAAATGGAGAACAAAAATCAGCACAACGAAGAGTTGGCATCAGCTGTCTGGAAAAGCCAGTTAGGCAGAGCCTTGCTCTCTTCACCCATTCTCGGGAA